ATACTTTTTATATTAAACTTGTTTAAAGAATTATACAACATATTATCAAGAATAACATTTTCTTTATAATTACAACATTCTGAAAGAATAAAAAGTGTAATTCTTAAAAAATAACAAAAGATTTTTAAATAATGAGTGTGATCATTTTTTAATTCATTCTTCAAGCCTTTCCCATCAGGTCTTCAAGCCATTCTTCAAGCCATTTCTATCACAAATTTATTTCCAAATATTTTGTAGTGATACACTTGTAACAACTGCACATTAAACATATAAATAATTAACTACCACTCTATCAAAATATAGTAATAATATTCTTTACATAATAAACTATTCTTGCAGAATGATTTTGAATATTCTTAAGGAGTTTGTATTATCAAGAATATATCCAACGAACAAAACAATTGAAATATAAATACATGAAAAGATCATGTTAACACAAAAGGAGACTAAAAACACTCTTTTTTGAATATTCTAACAAAATAATATACTTGTTGCATAATATTCTTAACATTCTTTGCTGAATATTCTAACAGAATAATATACTTGTTGCATAATATTCAGAAGCCACAAAAACTTAGCTTTCATATATGAAAAAAGATTATAAAAAAAGATTGCTTAATTTGTAGATTTTCACGTTCTTTCGTTTTCCAAAAAGGATGGTATGCAGTAAATGCAAGTTCTCATCAACTTTCCTCTTGGTCAGTTTGTAAGCCACTGAAACAACATGTAAATTGAGATTTGCATAAACAACATAAAGATATATAAATATTCTTTGTTGAATATTCTAACAGAATAATATACTTGTTGCATAATATTCTTAACATTCTCTGTTGAATATTCTAACAAAATAATCGATATGAAAAAACATATCAAACTTGCCTCTTTTACACAAAAACTTTCTCTTTTTGACATTATACCAAACACTTGGAAGGCATGTTTTATTATCAAACACTTGGACAGCTTGTAAGCCACTGAAACAACATGTAAATTAAGATTTGCATAAACAACATAAAGATATATAAATATTCTTTGTTGAATATTCTAACAGAATAATATACTTCTTGCCCCTTTTACACAAAAACTTTCTCTTTTTGACATTATATCAAACACTTGGAAGGCATGTTTTATTGTCAAACACTTGGATAAGACATGTCCAATTCCATTATTGAATTCTTAATCAATGAAATTCAATTGATTTTAAACAAAGACAAAAGAGAAATCAAACCAAAGGAGAATCATACCTGACAACTTGAAGACGGTTAGTTGGAATAAAACACCATGGCTGTTTGTGATTGTTCATGCTCCATGGTAAGATCGATATGAGGGTATCGATGGAGGGAAAGGAACGAAGGCAATAGTGCTGCCGTCAAGTGGCAACGAAGGCTACTCCTTCTTCTATCCGACAACAATCATGTAGGGAGGGAAAGACTTTGGTCCTCAGTTGATCCGAGAAGAAAGAAACACAACCAATGACTCTTAATCGATCGCAAGGAAGGGCTGCAATTGGCGGTGGGAAGTCATTGATTTTCTTCTCTATAGTGGTGATGTTTCAGGCAAGAAACAAAGGTGAAAGACTAGGTCAAATATATTTACTTAATTTCCATAATTGTAGGATTTCAATTAAATGATTTCCTTAATTAAAAGTACAAATGGTCCAAAATACCCTTTAATGATTTATTTAATTATTTATTATTTCTTGAATTCTCATTGGTGCATTTAGGCATACAATATTTGTTGGAAACATTTGAACATATATATATATATATATATATATATATATATATATATATATATATATATATATATTAATAATTTAATTGAATTTCATGGTGATCAACAATTAAGAATAAATAGTATTTGCCTTGCATCAATCTAATTGTAGAAGAAGAACCAAACTTTGAAGATTCGACCAATCACTACCGAATTGGGATTTAACTTATAAGAATATGGGAGTAAGAGTGGATATCCGGCCGTGTCAATGTTTGATTCCTGAGGTTGCATGGCCGGAAGAGTGCTAGCTTCGATCCTCCATTTTGTTCGACAGTGATCGATTGTGAAGATGACCGTTCCATTTTTTGGCCGGCGGTGTTTAGATGAAGAATGGGGGAAATTGATGTCGATGGTTATAAAAGAGAAAGATTAGGTTAACATATTTAATTTGTTCCTTAATTACATAGATTTGATTAATGATCCCGTTAATTGAAAGTGCAAAAAACCAGAAAATGTTTGTCCAAAGGATGCACATCATACATGACATTCGTAACTGATACAAAGAAAGAGAAGAAAGAGATACAAAGAATATCAGTGGTGTGTGACTATCTGTAAGTCTTTCTAGAAAATCTTTCTGGATTGCCCCCTGATAGACAAGTGGATTTTCGAATAGACTTGTTTCCAAGATCGACACCAATAGCGAAATCACCATACCGATTAGCACCAACGGAGATGAAGGAGATTATGATGCAACTTTAGGAGTTGTTGAACAACAATTTCATTAGATCTAGTTCATCACCCTGGGGAGATTTGGTGCTATTCGTAAAGAAGAAGAATGGAAGCATGAGGATGTGCATAGATTACAGAGAGCTGAACAAGATAATGGTAAAGAACAAGTATCCATTGCTAAGGATTGATGACCTGTTCGATCGGATGCAAGGTTCGATCCATTTCTCAAAGATCTGTCTTAGGTCAGGATATCATTAGCTGAAGGTGAGGGAGCAAGATATTTAGAAGACTGCATTCAGAACAATATATGGACACTACGAGTTCTTGGTTATGTCATTTGGACTAAATGATGCTCCAGCAGCATTTATGGATTTGATGAACAGGGTTTGTAAACTATTCCTTGATAAATCCGTAATAGTGTTCATATATGACATCCTGATATAGTCAAAGAGCCAGCAGGAGCACGACAAGCATCTACGAGAAGTATTAGAAGTTTTAAAGAAGAAGAAGTTGTACGCAAAGTTCTCCAAATGTGATTTTTGGATTCGAGAAGTCCAATTCTTAGGTCATGTAGTTAATCGGGAAGGGACAATGGTTGACCAAACAAATATTGAAGTTGTAATAAAGTGGGAACGACCAAAAAGTCCCACGGATATTCGAAGATTTTTGGGCTTAGCTGGATACTACCAAAGGTATATCCAAGGCTTTTCTTCGATAGCTGCTCCCTTGACATCTTTGACCCATAAAGGAGCTACATATGCATGGAGTGAGAAACATGATGAGGCATTCGAGAAGCTAAAGAATAAGTTGTGTGAAGCACCAATTCTTTCTTTACCTGACGGGGTTGAAGACTTCGCAGTCTATAGCGATCCATCTGGAGTTGGGTTAGGTTGTGTTCTGACCCAAAGATATAAGGTGATAGCATATGCATGGAGACAATTGAAAGATCATGAAAATAACTACCCCACTCATGATCTGTAGTTGGCAGTGGTAGTATTTGCATTAAAGATATGGAGGCATTATCTTTATGGCACAAAGTGCAAACTTTTCACTGATCATAAGAGTCTCTGGTATCTCTTTAGTCAGAAGGAATTGAATATGAGACCTGGGCAGTTAATATCGGCGCTATCCAGGTGTTATCCAGGTGGGATATCGGTTATCGGCCCCTTTTAAAATATCGGTATCAAATATCGGCCCAAAATATCGGAACCGCAAATATCGTCGATAATTACCGATATTTTACCGCTATTTTGATTCCTAAATATCGTTTATATCACCGGTTTTCCCGAAAATCTGTTTTCGGGCCAAATTTGTGGATAAGCCCATAAAACTTTGATTTTTTTGGAATTAATACTCATAGATCACAAGCCCAAACGACTAAACTCTACTCTTAACCCCAAATTCCCAAATCCCAATCGACAATCATATACAGATGTACCTAGCTTTTCATCGGATTGTGACTTGCGACTTCAACACTGATTTGTGGTTATTGTTCCATTATTCTTCTTTGGTTCTTATTTGATTATTCTTCTTCAGTTCTTCAACTGTTAAGCAACACAGGAGCTACGGTTCTTCGTCTTCAACAGCTACTCTTATTCGTCTTCAACAGGTACCTTCGATTCTTTGGTTCTTCCACTGTTAAGCTTCGGATTGGCCCAAACTTGTTCGTCTTCAACAATAGTTACTATTGTTTCAAGTGTACTTTGCTTTTCTTTTCCATGACTAACAGCTACTATTGTTAATAGTTGCTATTATTTCAACTTGTTCGTCTTCAGCATTCAAACTTGTTCGTCAACAGCTACTATTGTTTCATTATTTTTCTTCGGGTCTTCAACTGATGTTATTTTTGGCCCAAAATATTTATATTTCTTTTCTCATCTGTTTGAATCCTCATCTGCAACATGTTGTATATTTTTCATTTTTTCTTAACTTGGCAGTTAGTTGTTATTGTTAAGCCATGGATTCATGGTTTGATATATTAACTGATCAAGTGATCATGCATTTTAGATATTGTCATATTGTACTTAAGTGTTAGCTAGTAAGTTGCTACTTGCTAGTTGCTACAGCTTACAGGTTTCTTTGATGTTGTATTTGTGTTAAATATACAACTTTTATTTTACATAGCTTGGTTGTTAGTTGTTAGTTTTTACTGTTACAGACTTATGTTATTGTAAAATTCTAAGTTTGTAACAAGTAATTTATTGTTAAACGATCCTATTAAACCCTACAAACACAAACAATAATACAATATCGTCTGATGTCGGAACTGGGACAAAATGTTTGAATAGAGATATGGCATGGGAATGGAGAGAGTCGAGAGATCCCACAAAAAGAACAAAACATTTGGTGTACATTATGTGGTAAGATGGTAAGTGGAGGAATCACACGATTGAAGCAACATCTTACTCATACCTCAAGGCAAGTCACCGGTTGTCCGAATGTGACTGTGGATATCTAAAAGAAAGTCATGGCATCAATTAAAGAAAAAGACAAGATACAAAAGGAAAAGAAAAGAAATATATAAATTCTTAGATCTTACACAGTTGATCTTTCTGATGAAGATGAGGATGAGGAAGTCTTTGTACAAGAAGTTAGTTCAAAAAAATGTTTCAAAGAAAAAGAAATTTGTGGGTGCTAGCAATGTGCGAGGTCCTCTCGATATAATTTATCAGATTGATCATGGAAAAGAAAAGCAAAGTACACTTGATAAAAATAATCCAATAAAAGAGAAGTTAAAGATGAAGGCTTGGGATAAAATTGCAACTTGGGCTTATTCGGTTGGTTTACCCTTCAATGTTGTACGTGACGAAGGTTTCCAAGATATGATCAATTCCATTGGTGAATATGGAAGAGGTATTTAAATGTGATTAAAGATTTATTGGTTATTTTATTATTACTTAAATACTTAATTTTATGACTTTATATTAGGTATGCCAGCTCCATCTTATCACAATATTCGTGTCACATTGATGAAAAAAGATTTAGAAGATACTCAAAAGTTTGTGGATTCATTCCGACCACATTGGGAGGAATATCGGTGTAGCGTTATGTCCGATTTTTGGACAGACGGTAAAGGAAGATGTTTGATAGATTTCTTAGTCAATTGTCCTCTTGGAACGGTATTCTTGAAATCAATTGATGCATCATAGCAGGTGAAGAATGCTCAATTGACCGTGGAAATTATAAATGAGGTGATAAAAGAGGCTGGAGAGGAGAACATTGTGCAGGTAGTTTTACTTTCTAGTTTTCTAAATATTATTTGTTATTTTAAATTTATAATCAATTTATTAGTTAAATTATTTTTCTTATTTTCTTATAGTTCATTACAAACAACGGATCAAACTTTAAAGCTGCTGGAAAAAATTTAGAAGAGCAACATCCCAAGTTGTTTTGGACTCCGTGTGCAGCACATTGTGTGAATCTCATGATAGGAGATATTGGTGAAAAAATACCGAAGATAAAAAAATACTTTGGCTGATGCAAGAACAATTGTGGTTTACATTTACAACCACAAAAGAATTCTTAATCTGATGAGGAAGTTGACGAAGAACAAGGAGCTGCACAGGTCTTGTGTAACTAGGTTTGCAACCCACTTTTATACAATTAAGAGTATCCACGAGAATCGACATCATATTCAAGTATTGTTTGTTTTTGCAGAATGGAAGAAAAGTGACTTTGCAAAGAAGTCGATTGGAAAGAAAGTTGAGCAAATAGTTGCAAAACAGGAATTTTGGGACAGCATACACTTTACTTGTCAGGTGCTAGCTCCTTTAGTGGATGTGGTCAGATTGGTTGATACATAAAAGAAGCCATGTATGGGTTACATCTATGATGCAGAGGAGAGAGCCAAGGAGCAAATCAAAAAAAATCTGACAGACACGCCTAATGAAAGAATTATCACTAGACTTTGGGCTATGATTCAAGCAAAATGGAGCGACCAACTTCACCACCTGTTACATGCAGGTATTAAACATTATATTTATTATTTTAATAGAATTACCAAATTTTACCTCCAAATCTTTATTGAATATGCAGCTGGATGTTACCTGAATCCCGCCATTTTTCATGGGGAAAATTCAAGGGAGATACGAAAGAACAGAGACATTGCGACGGGACTTTATGTTGCTATAGATCATCTAGTGCCCGATAATGATGACAATGATAAATTAAGGCAAGACTTGAATCTATACATTGATTCGGTTGGGCAATTTCGATCTCCAATTGTTATAAGGGCTAGGACAAAAGTTTCACCATGTAAGTAAAACATTTTTAACATATTTACATGTTTTTATACCATAATTTTTTACAAGGTCATTTCATTTATTCATTAAATGTAGATATATGGTGGCGTACTTATGGGATCAACACGCCTTTGCTCCAAAAAATTGTTATCACAGTCCTTAGTCAGACATGTAGTGCTTCACCTTGTGAACGCAATTGGAGTGCATTTGACAATGTAATTGGTTTCTATAATTCTACCTAGTACTTTTGATAAATAATATTAAATTTAACTTATTTACTTCACTAAGTAATTATTTTATTCTTTATGTGCAGTTACATTCAAAGAAAAGAAATTGTCTTTTGCAGCAAAAACTTAATGACCTTGTATTCATGCAACACAACACAAAGTTACAAAGGCGCTACAATTTGTTAAAATCCAACAGATCTTTGGATCCTATTTTATTGAGAGACGTAGAGGAAAATGATGATTGGGTTATACCAACAGAAGTCGAGCTTCAAGAGTTTGTTGATGGTAGAGATGGTCTTCTTTGGTCAGCTACGCAAGAGGCAATGGGGAGAAACGAAGAAGTTGGGGTAACAACTAGGAGCAAAAGACACTACTAGAAAACAGACCTTTAATCACATGCTTTTGATTAATGATACGCAAAAGGGCGTGTCCTAAAAATAAAGTCAAATCTTTAAAAAATTT